GAAGCACAAGTCATGACTATCCTAACAGCTCTCAGCAGAAGTCCATCCTTTAGTTTGCACTCTTCCTACTCTCATTCTCCTACTTTTAAACATTTAATGGATTTTCCTAGTAAACTCAATCTTCTAATATTGTTTGCCATATGATGTCCTCCATAATATTCCTAAGCCTCATTAATTCTTTACTTCCCAATGCTTTCATAATATTTTATTCATAGCACTTATATACTGAATATAATTAATTACATACTGTGTATCATCCCTGCTAGACTGTGAATTCATTGAAGACAAGGACTGCATCTTGTTCATTTTATGTCACCCAATCTAATAATGCTTTATCAAAGCAAAAACCAAAACCAAACATGAACATCCATCAACAACAAAAATCTAGGCATTTTCATCACTAATTTCAAAGTCTGAGTCATAACACAATGGCTCCTTATGCACAAACAATGAAAATCAGAGTACACTTGGATAAGGCAGTGTCATTTCCTATAGAAGCACATACCATAAAAAATGGGGCAAAAATATAACATGACCAGAATTCATGTACATAAAATCATAAAGCTTGACTTGGGGACCTGAATAAATGGGGAGAAGTAGCATGTCTTAATATAGAAAGCTTACATTTGAAAAGATGTTAATTCTTTAAAAATTAATTTATAAATTCAATGCGTATCCAGTCATAACTACAGCAGGATTTTTAAGTCGACTTTGTCAAATTGATTCTAAATTTATGTTGAGAAAATATGTAAGGTTTTGAACAAAATTTTATAAATACTTTTTCAACCATAACACACTATAAAGCTAAATAAACTAATTAGAATACAACAGGAGCTCACAAAAGAACAAAGGACCAATTAAACAGAATCAAATCAATTCCCTAAAATATGACCACTTTTATTAAGATAAACACATCATTTCAAATGTATGAATAAGGAACTCCTTTTAAATCAGATGGAAATAATTGGTTAAAAATGTATTCAAATGAGGGGTTCCTGGTGGCTCAGTCAGTTAAGAATCTGACTCTTGATTTTGGCTCAAGTCATGATCTCAGGGTCATGAGATTGAGCCCTATGTCAAGCTCTGTGCTCAACAGAGGGGAGTCTGCTTGAGATCCTCTCTCTTTCCCTCTGTCACTCCCTCCTATTCTCTATTTCATATAAATAATTAAATCTTTTAAAAAATATATTAATGTGAAAGAAAATTAGACCCCCAACTCCATTCTGTGCACAAAAACTAATTAGAGGAGGAAGGGCTGAGTAGATAGATGTAAAAGCAAAATAGCATTTTAAAAAACACAGTATTTTCAAAATCTTCAGATAAGAGAAGTTCTTCTAAATGAGACAGAACCAGAGAACTAGGAAGTTATAAAAGGGATGACTAGACATATAAAATAAATGCCTTTGAATGATGAAATACATCACAAAGTAAAAAAAAGAATTGACAGTGTCAAGAGAAAATACTGTAAAAGTGTATGTTACAAAAAGAATTAATAACTTAATACATATAAAATATATAAGAAAATATACTAGGAAAAAATCTTACCCTTTTTCTGTTAGGTTTTTAATCCTTTTTTTAAATCAGGTAATAATTCACAGAAGAAAAAATACAAATAGCAAATGTGTATGACAAAGACGAACAAGCTAATTTAACTAGTACGGTAGCAACTTACATTTGCTACCAGGCTATCAAAAACTTAAAAGATATATATGATTCATCATCATGGAGGGTTTGAGGAGATCAGACCCTCTCACACAAGGTTGATGGAGGGCTAAAATGGTAAAGCTTTTGGAAAACAATTTGTAATATTTATCAAAAATTTTATACCTTGTGAACCCAAAATTCCACTTGCAGGTATCTATCCTATCAAAATATACATAGGCACAACAAAAGACTACTCAAGGGTACTCATGGTAGTCTTACTTATAATAATGAAAAATTACAAACAATGGAATAAGGCTCCCCAGTCTAATTTATAGAAATGAGTCTGAGAAGAGAATACATTTCTGTAAAATTAAAAAAAAAAATCAAACTCTATGGAAATGTAAAGAAAAAATGGCTGGATTGATACACATAAAATATTGACAATTTTATTTGTGAGGAGGATAAACATGATGGGAAGCCATAGAAAATTAGTAAAAGAAATTTTTCACATTGTATTGCTCTTTTGTTTTATTCTTTTACAATTAGGACTAATTCATGTGGCTTTTATGTATTTAAAAAACAACTCCAATAAGAGTACCCAAGAATATGTTGACTTAACTGTACAAAAAATGGTAGGCATGAAAGTTTATAGTTTGAATAATTAGTAATTAATTACCAATTCATGCAACAAATAAATACTGACAGAGTTTTGCACTAAAGATTAAATGCGAGAGTAGTAATACAAGGATGAGACAAAGCCCTATCTTCAAAGTTACCAAAAAATCATCAGGGATGCAGAAAGGGAATGAACTACAAGGTGACAATTGCCAATTGCTACAATTCAGACACACAGGATGTTACCTTATCCTTACTGGAGAAGACAGATTTCAGGCATGGGAGTGCAAGTGAAATTTTTTTTTCTTTAGTGAATAGTAATATTCCCAACAGATAAGAGGGAATGCAAGTGGGAAGGAATTCACATAATGGGCAAAGTCACTCTGACTTGAGGTCATGGGCTCTGCTGTGCCAGTGTTGGCTGTTGAGTCTCACCTCTGCCCCTCACTTAAAAGTTGTGCAACCTTCAGCTAAGTGACTTAACTCCCCTTAATCTCTATGTCTCAGCTATAACATGGCTAATGTAACCATCCATTCTGAGGGTTTACTGAGAAAACTGCACAAGGCCACTCATAAGAGCCTCAGTAGAATACCTAGAACATAAGTTTTAATAAATATTTGCTTTTCTTCTACTTGTTATCTTTAAAGAAGCTAAGAAGAGCATGCTATGCTTCGGAAACTGAAAGGCTGATACAGACTAGTAGCAAAACTATGAAACTTTTCTAGGAAACAGTGACCCATGATAACCCTCACTTCCAAGTTAAGGCCAGGCATGTGCCTATAGAAATCTGATTTTTGTATTTACTCACTTGCATACCAATGCGACAACTATCTCATTATCAGTAAAAAAAATTTTAATACATATTCAATGAGATTTGCATTATTTTCCTGGTGAATTATATAAATGATAATTAAATTATTTACTTCAAGTATGTAAGGCTTCCAAAACTGGAATTGAAAGCAATGTTTTGTCTTAGTAAAAACGGAATTTAATTTTTGAAAAAAAAAATAATTCATTCACTGGAAATAAATAAAATATTCCATTAAAAACTAATGTAATGCAGATGAGTCAAAGATCCTTTTCTTTCAATTTTCATCTGCCCTCCAACTTTAGGACATTTACTACTTATATGCTTTCTCATCATTGTTTCAAATCTGTAAGAATTCACATGAATATATGTATGTATTCATTATATATATGCAGTAATATTATATATTACTTATTAACATTATAACAAGTATTAGTAACATAAGGAATAAGTATTTCTTATTCACTTAGTAACATAATATATATATACATATATATATCAGCAGTAATAGTAATTTAATTAAAATAATTAATTTAATTATTATGATTAAAGAACCAGGCAATATAGAAAAACTGACAGGATTTGAAATGGTAGTTTTGTGTGTGTGTGTGTGTATGTATATATATATAATATATATCTACACTAACAATATTTATTACAATGAAAGAGTCAACAGCATTGGGCTCTGTAGCCAGAATACCTAGACAAAGCCCTGGTCCTGTCAGTTACTACCTGTGTAAATTTAGGCATGATGCTTGACCTGTCTGAGCCTCAGTTCCCTTACCTATGATATGGGAATAATAATAATAAAAATAATAAATCCACATATCTCAAAGGTTGTTGTCAGAATTAAATGAATAGCTACATATTCAACAGTTAGAACAGTGTCTGGGCCCTTAAGAGTGTTTATGTAGTGGATGGTAAGAGGTCTCTTCTAGTCCTCAAACCTTTACTTGGTGGTGCTATCAATATAATTCTCTCTTTTTCCTGCTTCTCTTTCAACGCAATTTTACATTTAAGTACACTGTCTTACTGGCTTTCTGTCCTTTTTAAACTTCTATGTCAAAGTAATCTTCATGTCATACTGAATACTTTACTCAGAGTCTTCATGTCTTATTATAGAATCAAAGCTACATCTTAATCATTACTCCATATATTGCTATCTTGGTGGGCCTTCTTCTAGCACTATTATTTCTAATTTTCTGCCCAATAACAATGGATTATTAAAATTAAAACTGTACTTGGATGTGGAACAATTCAAAATACTAAAAAGACTGAGTTTATTTTACTGTTTAATCTCAACATTGACTAAATAGCTTGAGTTTATAATCAATATTATTTTAAAGAAATAACTGTTCAACGACTATTCCAAGGAATAACTCATATTAGCATTGTAAGTCTAATGATGAAAATAATATAAATATTACCATAACAAGTACAACTAGAGGCTTCTGCTGTAAGATTGATATACATTTTGTCCAGAACAGCTTTACTCCATGGAATATTTATTTCTGTCTTGCAGCACAAGCTTCTCATAATGAATCACATTCAAAAAACATTAAAAAAAGATATACGAGTATATGTTGGGGAAAAAAATTGCTGTTGCTTGAAGGTATTTTCCATCAAAAATTAAATATGGCACAATGGTCATTTTGTAGAGTTCATTAATGAAATTGGGAAGGCATTATTAATCTCCAGTGTTAAATTGAACTTACAGTGAAAATTGATCAAGCTTCTCCTGATTCAGAAATACCCCATGGCTACTATTGATCAAGTGTTTGGGACAATGATTATAATTCATATCCAAACACCAAAAAAAATGAGATAGAAATTGTTCTTAAAAGGTTTCTTATTCAAAACATGTAATATTTAGCTTAATAGAGGAAGGCTTACGGACACAGTTTTCTTGTGAGGATCTACCGGAAAACATACCTGGCCAGGCTGAAGGCATCGTCAATCAAACCTGCTCTGTTACTGACAGAGAGAACCTATGAGATCAGAAAGAAAGAAAGAAAGAAAGAAAGACAGACAGACAGACAGACAGAAAGAAAGAAAGAAAAGAAAGAAAAGGAAAGAAGAGAAAAGAAAGAAAAAAAGAATCAGGATTAAAATGGCAGGTGTTGACCTCTTGAAACAGATGTTTGATGAGTAAATCCAGTTTACCTCATGGTTCCTGATTAATTGATCAATTAATAATCGCCAATTCCTTAAATCATAGTTGACTCTAAAATAGCCAGTTTGATTGATATTCCCCAGCAACCAGCTTCCTTTGTCCAAAGTTATTCTGTGGTGCTCTGAAAACAACATTTTTGGGGGTAAAACACATTTTAAATTTATGGGTTAAAATTATATGAAGTATATTTTCTAAATAATGAATATTAGAGTACGAATAATAAAAAGAGAACACCATCATAAATACCTAATTGAAATTTAATCTTTAATCAATTCATCACTATATCTAGAATTCACAAGAAAACCTTCAGTTGCTTACTCTATTACCTCGGTTGTTTTCTTATAATTAACATTTTTTTCTTGATAAAACCTCATTACCTATACACAATGTTCTTCTCAAGATAAATGTCACCAAGAAATTGCCTGTATTCATGTGACGTCTAGTTAGATTGTATTTAAATATGGGGCTAGAATAGAAGAAAAGGTTTTAGATGCATATTCTATTTATTTTATTCAGTAAGAAAGTGATTAAAACAACAAGACTCATTTATTTTAAAGTCACTATTGTTTCTCGCCTTTTTTTCTTGTGCTTTTTTGGAAGTACTAATAAATAACAGTCTTTCCAGCATCATCAATAATGTTGGAAAAAGGAAACTCATTTATTTAAGACTCTAATATTTCTACATATAATTAGAACAAAGATAATAAATTCTGTTTATTGGAATCACTTTGGAAAATGGTAACTTGATTATATTCCCCACCTAATTCAATTAAAGGAAGCCAGTAAAAGCAATCTTATAACTTATATATTTAACTCCTTCAAAATACAGTACAGATGGAGAACTCCATTCACTTTAATGTCAGCCTCTGTTGACTTCACAGAACCATAGCTTACAATTCTAATCATTTGTGGATGTCCTCAGGACCCATGGTTCACAGAAGTTACAAAATGTATTGTTTAATTAAAATTTATATTTTACATACACACAGACACACACACACACACACACAGAGCCCACACACACCAGTCTACCAATTTCCACAATGATTCAAAACCAGAAGATGCATCACAGAAAACATTTGTATAAGCTCTGATTGGGACACACAGCCTCCAATTCTCACCTTATTATCCAGGTTTTTTGCACATCAGGCTACAAAACAAGTTTTCTTTTCCTCTCTCTTTCTGAAACACTGAATCTACATTCTCTTTCAAGTAGAAACCACACAGGAAGAAGGTGTGACCACAAAAATTGAGTGAACATTAATGACTATTAATTGCTGAAATGGGGTGAGCTCTGAAATGGGGTGAACTTCTTAAGCTAATGCCTGTTACATTTTGCCAATTTTTATAAATGTACAGTAAAATAAAAAATGCACGTTGAACATAAAAAATCTAATCTTTAATGTTTCAAATAGCACGTCAGTTTTTTGCCACTTTTATAAATAGTATCTGTTGGAACAGATAAAGAAACAAGGCTCAGACAGGTTAATTGAATTGTCCAAGAAAGCTGGGGTGGTCCGTCTCAGGTCTCCTGACTTGGGTGTCCTTTTCACTACAATTACACTCTTATTGATACAAGATGGTATAGCACTTTTACTGTAATATATTTCTCACATTCTTACATCGATTTGAAAAAGAGGGACATAGCATTGGAAACAAGAATTAGAACTAGAGCCAGATAGCTAGATTTTTGTTCTATGTCTCCTAGACTTAAATGTTTGAGCTTAGGCCACTCATATAATCTAAGGGCAAACTAATCGCATTTAAGTTTCCTTCCAACTCTAGGACTCAGTGGAAGGAGGAACTGTTTTCCTCAGTGTAAAATTTTACCAGGCTTCATCTATGCTACTTAAAAAAATAAATCTATCAGATATTGCTTTAAAATATTAATAGTTTCCCAACTTTCTGATTCTTTGTTTTGAGATATTTTTCAAAACTTTAATGTGCTTATGTACACAATTCCTTTGAAGTTTTAGAATGTCACCCCCTTTTACAAATATAAAAATAAAAAATAATTAACAAAGGGTATGACATTTTAAAACTTAAACATCTAAAGCAAAATTTCAATTAATCATGTCCAAATTCAGTGAAAAAAATTTAAGATTAAAATATTGAGGATACTGTTTCTCTTGAACTCTGTCTTGAAGAATACGAGGATTACAACAGCACATGTTCAAGTTGTGATTAAATTCATGTGGGTTAGGTGCTCACTCTGACAGCACATATACTAAATTCACTTGGGTTAGGAGTAAATTGGATCATTGTGATCTAAGAAGTGTTATTTTTTTAAGAAATTACAATATTCAAGAATCAAGTTTAATGTATGAATATGTAATTTAGGTTTTTACAATTCTGAAACAATCATCAAATCCTATGATATTAAATCTGTTTTTTAAAAAGTTATTCTTGTTCACATTTTAGAGAGCTGGCACAATTTAACTTCATGTGATACACTTGGCTATAAATTGGTGATGGGCATTAAGGAGGGAACCTACTGTGATGAGCACTGGGTGTTATATGTAAGTGATGAATCACTAAATTCTATTCCTGAAACCAATATTACATTGTATATTAATTAACCATAATTAAAATAAAAACTTGAAAATTCAAAGAATTTTTAAAAAATTTTTAAAAATAAACTTACTGAATTCAACAGCTTACAAGTAGAAAAGAGACTAATTAAAATAGGAAAGCAACCCCTATACCTTCTATTTCATCTGATAAGAATAAAAAAGGCAAGCATCTATTGTTATAAGTATGCTATTATTAAATTGATAACTAAAACCTGAAGGTTATTACTGTTCATGAATGTTTTTATGCCTTTGTTATAAATGAAATCTTTGGAGAAATGATTCCCTGAAAGATTTTGTAATAGATTTTTAAATGTCTTTTTCATTCTAGTTAATTATATCTTTAAAATGTTCTTCAAATTAACTAATGGCAAGCAATGAATTTTAAAGAGATCTTTTCCAATGGCTTAATGAGGTATGGTGTGTGATGTGTACCAAAATAAAAAGTATGGAAGTTATGTTTTGAGTGTTAGTAATAACAACTTAAAATTGTTTGTAGAATGTATCCAAAATGGCACAAAATTTAGATTATATCAGGGCACAGAATAGTTGGAATTTTATAATATTTTGGGTTTATAGCCTATACTTTCTGAACAAAAAGAGGAAGATTAAGGCTTTCTTCTCTGTATTGGCCCATTGCAGAAAAATCAGAATTTAAAACAAAAAGTTAACCAAAGTAACAAGGGTAGCAACACATACTTGTTTGCCTGTATACAAGTTGCTTGTACGTACGTGTATACTCAGGTACAACACATACTTGTTTTCTCACTGGACTTGTGTGAGAATTGAATTAGAAAATGCTCCATAGAACCTATAAAGAAACGTGTATGTATATAATGGGAACATGTTGAGTAATTAGCACATCAGCAAAGCAACCTGCCAAAATCTTAAAATTTTATGTATGTGTTTGTGGTTTAGAGGGAATATGTTTAGGGGGAGAAAAAGCAAGCTCCTAAGACAATTTGGGCAACTTATTTCTCAAACCCTAGCTTCCTCATTTGTAAAATGGAGATAACAATAACTCATTCTAAAGGCTTGCAAGTCATATAAAACAATGCTTAAGACAAGCACTATATCATTACACTATTTTTAATGTTTACTTACAACTTCAGCATCAATTTCCCTTTTACTCTCAATCTTTTCTTTCCTAACATCTGGCATTAAATTTATTCCCTTACATTACACATTCATTGTCACCCTACAAGTTGCTATATTTATAAACTTCTGCATTCTCAATATCTCAGTAGTAAAAACAAAAGAGATAAATCCTTTTACCTGCTTTTAGTAATTTAAAAGTTTATTTAAAAGCTATTTTATGCTAAAATGAACTATACCTTAATCTGGAATTAACTCGATATTCATCTAATGGGTTTAAAAAATGGAAATTTGATTCAAATCAAATTTATGCTTTTTTTAATTGCCACGACTGTGCCTTAATACCTGGTGAGATCAAATCTATGTGACTGACAATGAAAAATTATAAAAACATCAATCTTACTGTTATAACTAAAAGGTAGACTTCTAAAATATAATATTGGTAAGAATTGACTGAAATGTTCTTAACGTTTTTATGGAAAAACATTATTACTGATATTAGTTAACTATATTTTTTATCTTGAATGATTTATTCATTTTTAGAGAGGACAGTAAGGGCAGAGGGAGAGAATCTGTACATGACCCCCTGCTGAGCATGGAGGTCAGTGTGGGGCTTGATTTCAAGACCCTGAGATCATGACCTGAACTGAAACCAAGAGTTGGACACTTAACCAACTGAGCCACCCAGGCGTCCCTAGTTAACTGTATTTCAAATAAAAGGAGATAAGAGTTAACAATCTTTTTCCCCCTAGTCTGTGCCTTGTGTCAGTTTTTTTGTCATCAGAATGAAGGACTTTAAGACAAAACTAAAGACAGAGTGAGCCTGAACAGGGAAAACAGAATGGTTGTCTTTTAAATCTCTCTTGGAAGCTTCTTCCAGATTTACATATTTATAAAGTTTTCAAGAAACATTTACTTTGTGTGGGCATTCCCCACAAAAGCGTCAACACTGCTACTGGGACCATGTTTCATCAGCCAGAAGACTGCTGTGATTAAACGGAAACTGACACACTGTAGATGGCACAACTCAGTATCATCTGAGGGTCAATATCAGTATCATCTCCCAGAGTTATGCACTGCACACACTAGGTAGTGTGCATGTCACATGTATTAATAAAGGTGACATTTCAGGTAAATGTATACTTTATAAAATCATGTTGTTATTATTCCTGATTAATAATGAGAGACTACAAATGGAAACAACCTCTCAAACACACCTGTGGTTATTGGTCAAGAAGAGCTGTGACACTATTCCGCATACTATGTGTGAAACAAGAGGATACCATGAATAAGAGCATACAGACAACTAGGGAGTTAGAGGAAATGGATGTGGGGAAAGTATCCAAGAAGAATCAGACTTGCCCTGGATCTGTTCTCTAAGAGTGATGTTTTGGTCTGATCCTGCCTTAATCAGTATCTTTGCTCTCTTGTAATTGTCCCATTGCCATTGTACCCACCAATGAGAAATGTTTTACTTGTGTTTCTGAAAACTGTTCTATTTCATGTTCCTAGCAATCCCATGGAGGATCTAATAGTTAGGTCATTAAGTTAACAACTCACTGTTTTCACTCATCATTTCATAGCAAATTATGTAGATAAACAAAACAACTACATGAGAGTAAAAAAGCAGTAAAAAAACAAATAATACAGTAAGTGAGTTAAGAATCATGGTATAAATGCTAATTCTAAGAAATGAAAAGAATAGATTATAATAAGCAACTTTAAAAGGAAAAATACCAGTAAATTTTAAAATAAGCATTTCATCACTACATTACTTGTGAATCTTTCATACACAATGTATATAAATAAAAATGCACATTTTCAATAATATGTGATAATATGTTAAAATACAACATGAACATATGAATAAAAATCCAATTGAAAATACAAACATTTATTTTTTGGTAAGCTAGATTAGATTTTGCTTTAAGAACTTTTTCTTGTAAATATGTATTTTGAGCATTTACATCTCCCTTATAATAGCAAGACTGAGGGATAGACATAATGTTTGTTATTTGTTTATGCCTCACTTACTGCAAAAAAGTTTGTGGCTGCTTATAGTGGTTATGAAATAAGACAATATCAATTAGCAGAATGGAAGAAAGGAGTTAGAAAAAACAAAATGTGGACATACTTGACCATCTAAATCTAAATAAAATGTTACATAAAAGATGATAATTGGCTTTTTCTCCAGTTCAATAGAAAACAGAAATTAAAGAGACCTGTTTCACATCTAGCATGAAGGATTCAGATTGGATTCAAGAAATAGCTTTCTGATAGTGATTTTAAATAGGTCGCTATCTTATTTGAAGATTTTTAGAAACACAATAGAATCTCGTCTTTCTCTGCTGCTTGAGAATTGACCCTAGTTTAGGTGATGCTTTGATGACCTATCAAGACCCCCCTCCCTTTTGTCCCTATAATTATCTAATTTTATGGAGAATATCGCCTTGTCCATTCTTTAAAGAGCCAGTCTGGCAAAAAGAAGATAGCAGGAAAATGGAATTAAAAATGGTGACCTCTGTTTCATTATTTGGCATACTGTTCTATGGGGAGTTATGATTATAATTTAATTAGATTTGGGATTATAAAATGATACAGTTTAAAACAGCTAAAGGTACTATAAATGTTTTGTTTTAAATTTTCTCTTTACCACAAATGACCCAAATGAATTTAAGAATTATATAGGCAGATGAAAATTAGACTTAAACTATACTATACTTAATTTTGTAGAGGTGATTATCATTCTTCTATATTCTCTTTCTAATTTGTCTTTATTCACATTTTTACAAAGGCTGAAACCAGAGGTTAAGTTGCTAAACAATTATCTGAAACCAAATAGTTCCTGAGGGGAGCATATATGTTTTACCTGATTTGTTAGACACCCAAATAATTGCTTCTGAAGACACATGGCTTCTATTTCCTACCACAATAGTTAGTGGAATCTGCCACAGGTAACTGCAAAATAAAATAGAAGCTTTAAGAATAAAATTTGTTATAACAAATAAACAAACAACATTTGCTATGCACCTTCTGCATGATTTCCATTATTCTCTTTAGGGGAAAATTAAAAATTCCCCATTCACAAAAGTAAGCAGTAAGTCAAGAAGATGAATTCACTTCTACAATGCCACTAAGCAGACTTAGCCTGTAAGAGTTTTAATTTCAATATAAAAGGGAGATTTAAACAACATAATTTATCTTGCAAAAAAAATTTGCATTTTACATTATGGAATAAAAAGTAGCTAAAATCAATAAATCAGAGCCACACCAAATATTGATTAAAGTCTCAAAATAACTCCCTTCTCCTGTTTCTATGTTAAATTAATGCACATTTCAGTGGCTTCATGAATTTACATTTCAACATTATACTTATTTATTCACTTAACTATCCTAAAAAGCAGTAGTATCACATTTTACAGAAAAGTTGAAATAGCACACTTAAAGTTATTCAGCAAAGCAGGAATGAAAGGTGAAAGTAATCAGATTCCCCTAAAATTCAGATCAATATAAAGATCAGTGCGGAACACCTTTAATGCTGTTTTCTGAAATGAAATTTCCAAACTGGTGCGTGAAATCATCAACCAACATTCAGGGATCAGTCAGGAGTCTCAGCTATTAAGAGAAGCATTTTCTAGAATTTGACTTTTTGTAGGAAAAAAATGGAAGTTTATACTTGTACATGAAGTAGCATCAATTTAATCTCAAATGGGTACCCAGAGATAAACTGGACGGTCCTACAATAAGTTCAATGACTACATTATGTTTCTTTCTATGAAGTACAGCCAAATTATGTTGACTTATCATTGCACTATTAACAGCAGGGGTAGCCAATAATATCCAGTATGTGAAAAATATTTTTGATTTTATGGAAGAGACACTGTGTGAGTTCTATAATTGGGAAAGTAAACAGAGAATTGATAGTTTTTCAGGAAACATACAGGGGATTATATAACCACAAATATAATGAATCTGCTTTGGGGGGATGGGAAGAGAGGACATTTCCTCTAAATCTGTTATATGAAATCTAATTACTTTATCATTTCATGTTTCTCATTCACAATAAACAAATGTCAGTAATAGTAACAAATCTAAGTGGAAGAGTTGAAGAAATTAATAATTTTACACCAATTGCCCTCTATGATATGTAAAGTTGAAATAATATGTTTAAAACTTTAGATTTTAAAAATATGCTGTATTTAATCAGCAAAATATTTTTGAGTGCCAACTACATGGAGACACTAAGCTCCACCGCAGTGGAATCCACATGGTTGGTCAGGAAATCAATAACCTATATACCCAAACGTATCATTTTTAAAGTAGACATAAATGAACATAACATATGTAAGCTGTTATTCAAAGCCCGCCCACCCCTTCACATAATACCAAGAATATGGAAAATATTTAATAATGGTATTACTATAAGGAAGACAAAGAGAATTGATATATATTTCTTTAACAGCTGTTCTCTAAAAATAATGACTCTTCTTTGATTAATTGAAAAAAATATTTAACAGACAGTAATGCTTAACTGTGTCTGACTCTTAAATTAAACCCTAAGCTCATATTTGTAAACCTAATATCTTGAAAAAACCTAGAAATGGAAGGCGTTCCAGAAACTGCTATTGAATTGGATCAAATGGGATGAGACCAAAGTAAAATGAAAGGAACCAAGTCAGTTAATCTGAGATTAACTTTATGAACTTAACTTTCTGGTCCACATCTTCCACATTGAGTTGGGTCAACTAAATTGTGAAGTCAAACAAGTATCCCTTAAAGGGCAAGAAATATACAAAATTGAAGATGTTTAAAGGTCCTCAAGTATAAATGTGCCTTTTTAAAGCATGATTTTAAAATGTGAAATATTATTTGCCCCAATATAAATAAATATACTTTTGCATTTATTTAAGCTGTATTCTTTTAAATAGTGGAACCAGAAACAATGATAATATTTCTATGGTATGCTTCAGTATTTGAGTTTTAGCAAAAATTTCTTAAGTACAAGAAAAAGAAATTCTTCTTAGAACCTGCATGCTGCTTACAGTCAATGCCACATCCCGATGGGAAACTTCCTGCATGGCAGACACTTAATCACTAAGCTGTTCAGATGCAAAAGAGTTAACTATAAAGTACTGGGATCCAAACACTTGGGCATTTTGTAAAACTTTTGAAATAGTCTTCTGTATTCTTCCCAAGAATGTTTTTACTCTGTGTCTGTGTGTGTATATGTCTGCATGATCATGTATGCACACAACTAAAATGTTTATATTGTCACAAAAACAAAATAAAAATTACAAATTACCAAGCCTATCTAAAATTTGTATTCATTTCTGAATTGCTATACTATGAACACTGTATGTTGTTTTTCATAACTCTCCAAACAACACATTATCTGGTCTTTTCCCAAATTTCATTTTGAAGTTTCATTTCAAAAATCAAAGAAAGCTCTTTGCTTGATGGTTAGAACTTAAAAGGGTGGAAGACACTAAACATGGCTGAGTGAAGCGTGGTGTGCTATAAAGAAAATCTCAGACTGCAGTGGGTTATGTTTGAAGAAAAACTAGAAAAAAGCATTTGTGAAATTAAAATGTGTCCCAGCTACCTAAGTTTAATTTTAGTCATCTCATTTTAAGCATTAAAAAAAAAAAAAAAAAAACACAAATGCATTTCAATAGACTTCTAAGATATATTTTTCTTTAATATTCCCCAGGGTTATCGCTCTTTCTGTAGTTCATGTTTTTATAATAAAACAATGTTTATCCTAGTAATCATGTTAAGGTAGACAATAATAGGTACTTATTTTAGCTTGAGGGAAAAATCTTTTTTAAAAATGGTACCAATGTCAATGAAGCATTAACGTAGACACCACGAACTCTACAGAAATTCCTGTCATCAGGTCAATAACCAAAGGGAATTATGACTGTGGAGATAAACACAATTGTCTGTAGCAGAGGACTCTGAGAAACCCCATAAGTAGATGAGGAGACATTGGTTGACATTGCAATGTATTAACTTCATAAAGAAAAAAGCTACAAAAAAAAAAAAAGAAGAAGAAGAAGAAAAGAAAAAAGCTACATAAATTCAGTACATAAATTCTAGCCAGTATCTTATTCGCTTTTACATATCAATGAACTGTATGCAATTATTAGTTATGTAGCAGTCTTTTACACTATAATACAGTTAGTCCATATGAAAAATATAATTACTATATACATTAAAAATGTTCTGGGCATGTTGCTGTGATATTCTGGTATCCTTTACAAAATTCAGGACAAAGAATTGATGAGACTGGCTCAGAAAATATCCACAGCTCATGGGATTTCTGGTACCGGTGGGCACTGTCTCACTGCATCAACAGTTTGAACTGTATAATAAAGACTTATGAAGGTTATGTAAAAAGGACAGATAGAATTGATATTGAAACTCTGACCACAATCTTAGAGTGAATAAAATGGATCAATAAGACACAAGTGAATACTAAATTTTTAACTGCAAGCTCAATTATTCCAAAATAGGTAGAAAATAATTTTTGAGCTTAAAGGGACTCCATGCCTTATCTTACTCTTAATATTTTATACACCAGGTTCTTGGGGTTCAACGTTATCCATATGATTTTACAACTGTAACAAAAGCAAAGCTCTATTCATGTTACATATACTTACACAGCCTGGGAGAAATTCTGCCTTTAAAAGAGTCAGACTCACAGCTCATACATCTGATGCATGTTACAGGCTGACAGCATATTTTTGTTCAAAATTTGTTCTGGCATTTGAGGGTCCTTTATGTTTTTCTGCATCAGTGATGTTTGTGTCAAACTGATCATTCTCAAAGGCATGGCCTAAATCTCTCTAACTTTGCCACAGTCAAGTAGTTTTTATGTACTTCCTGGCAAGGCTGGGGTTGATGCCTAAGCAGGTTTAGCCTGGGGCCAGAGGGTGGAGGATGAGAAGCCGCATTTGGCAGCTCTGTAGAATCCCAGGCTGGGTAAAAGGAAGCACTCACAGAGTTAGACCCTGACGGTGCGGCAGGGTAATCCCACTTTGCAAGGGCAGTTTGTTGAAGGCCCACGTATATATTGATCTGGAGATTTAAGTCCGTGCTTCCCCCAATAACATTCCAAATTTAGTCACCAGAAAACATTCAGGAATTTCTCAGTCACTTCTACCTATAGCCCACCTTGGAGCTAGCCTACTTGGGAATGATTTCCATCCCTCTCAGAGATTAAAACAAGAACAAACAAAACAATTCATGCTTGACACCCCTGGGTAATGTAATGGGAGACAGCATGACCAATCTAATCCAAACACCCCACTTTATTTATTACTTTTAAATTCCATTCCTTCTGTCCCCTCCCACCTCCAACCTTTTCTTAGGGCACCTTTTGAAAAATGAAATGAACTGATTTAAATTCCATTATCTTTCTTTGGCTCAGCCTTCAGTAAACCACCATACTAAGAAAACGTGAAGTAGAAAAGAAACACTATATGCTGTTTTCAGTAATTAAATAAGAGTTTCAAAAGAAAGTTTAACAACAAATAAAAATTCTATGTATGTTGTCTGTTCAGTGGTTTTACACATGGAATGAGGGAGGAGAACATATTTTGATGCCGAGTAACATTGATACTCAGACCATTTAAAAATGGTTCTACTTTGAGTTCCTTTGGCTCAGATACTAGTCTAGTTGTGGTTTTTGTTTGTTTTAATTAGTCTTTCTGGATTGTTAGTTTCTATTCTTACCTATTTTATAAATTGCAGTTTACTCAATTCCATTTAATTGACTTCATTGCATCTTAACTTTCTTGAATTTTATTCAACAAACATTCACAGGGAAAAGTAAAAAAATCACATATTTTTCTAAATCACCATGATAATTTAAACTCTGCTTAAACAAAATAACTTTGGTGTGTTGTCACTTTGGTTAAAATATCTGGAAATGGGAGTAAAAGAGGAATCAAAATGAAAACACCATATGTAAATAAAGAAATGAAAACCATATTTCACTTACATTTTATAATTGGGCTAGCGATCCTTTTTAAAATGCTAAAAACACAAAGTGAAACCTAAGAATATAAGCAATTGTTTTTTCATGTAAAAGAGTACTGTACCTGTTATTTTGAAGTTCGAGTGCTTTAGTTTTAGCACTGATGTCATAAATAAAATGTTGTTGGGTAATTATTATTCTATTTTCTGCTGTTGAATTTCCCAAGATTGTGATAACAGGATAACCCATCTGGAGTGTCCACTGATCCATTACTTCTTGTATATTTACAAATTTTCCATTCCGTTTTAAAGCCTTTGTAACCCAAATGGTATAAATTAGTTTCATAAACATGAACTATAAACATAATTAACATTAAGCCATTTTTATTTTTACCTTTATGATTTACTTAAGGATGAAAACATGTAAAATCAGTGAAGCTAATATAACGTATTAGTAAAATTAATCTCATTGCCTTAAGTTAAGTTTCATGCATATATAGAGAAAGGAAACCTTATAAGCATTAAAGTTTTTACTTAATGGAAGATAAAACATAGTTGATTGTTAAAACTATGCCTAGTACCAAGTTTAAATATTTGTTATTCACCTATAGAAAAAACTACTTTAACTTCAATATTTCTCTCAAACATGAATATCTGACACCATATGAATGTTGTATTTCAGAAGTATTGCCTTGTTTGAGAGGAGGAAAGTTACTTTATTACTACCATTTGTACTTTAAGTAATTTTAAACCCCATTACTTTTATAATACATCAAAAATAAAATGATAAAGCAATATGAGAAAATATAAAAAGGAAAAACAACTGTCAGTCTCAATAAAAGTTAAACGAATGGTTTATAAACTCAATTCAAATATTCAAGAAGAGGTTTTGCTATTCGAGCTTCCTATACTTTACCTCTGACAGTGTATTCCAGAGATCGTTTCTGGCTGCATTGCCGTACTTATGAATGGTTAAGTAATCCTACAAAGAATATAAAATTAAAATTACAATTCAGAGTCTAAGCAATTTCCAGTAAACACATATATTTCTCAATTCAATTAATAATTTCTATTTGTTAGAATTACATTACTATGAAGACAAGGAGAAGGATGTGGAAAAAGAAGAAAAATCTCATTTTACAATATCCTGAAGAACTTTAACTGTAACATATTTCTTAACTCATCAAACAATACTGGTCTCTTAAAAAATATTTTCGTAGCCATAATCACTTGTTATGGATTTCCAGTGTCAAAGACCTTCCTCTAATTTAACAAACCAACCTCAGGCAACTGTAAAGAAACAACCTCTGCAATGAAACATTTAGGAGAAACTTCCCCATCGGACTTTCCTGTTGAAATGTTGAAAAAAACAAATTCTGTTTTATGGAAAAGTAAAAACAACAACAGAGACCCAACTGATATATGCCAAAATGAAGAGGAATCGCTTTGCTGAAAGAGTGATGGCTATATCCACAAGCTGTCCAGTTCCCTAGTCTTTCTGCAAGGGACAGGCTGCCTAATACAAAAAAGGACACATACTTATTTCCATGAGCTTGAAACACATATTAATACTTAATAAGGAAAAGTTAATCCTAAATTTATTTAATATTTTTGAGGGTAGGATTTTTCGTTTCCCAGTTTCCACCATTAGTAGTTAAACCTACGCACTTTCTATCTACCTATGCCTGCTCCCTTCTATGAAGCATGGTCTGTGTCACTGTCGATATGTGATTTGGTTACGGCCAGTCGGTGTTATTCTTTTTCCACATCAAAGTGGAAAAATGAATAGGAAATAGTGTTTTATGTTATAAAACAGAGAGTCTTCTCAATTTGAAATTCCTTCATCTCTACAACATGTAGGTAGTAAACAAAATCCTAATTTACATCACAGTACTGAAAATGAAAAAAAAAATGCTGACTCTCTTCAGTACTTTGTGTAGAATAGAATACTTTGGGGATAATTAAACTTGGGGAAGACGTTTTTCTGAAATACAAATTGTAGCACCTGTGACAGATTCAGCTTCGTTGGCAACTCACAGCGCAGAAAATGGCAACTCCCACCTAATCAGACTCTAAAGATGCAATGCCCAACACTAACTTAGCAACCACAAATTCATCATCATCATCAGGGATTATGAATAACTTTGTTGAAAAAGTATAACCCCAAATAACCAATCTGAACTCCACTTTTGGTTTTGAATATGCCATATGAGTCATTTTCCATTAGAACTTAGAGACCAGGATTAAAATAAATTATTTCAGATTTAACTATCAGCATTATCTTTCATGCTTTTTCAGCACCTAAATGAATAAATCTGGGAACAATAGGAATTATGAAACACAAATTTGGGTTTTATTTTAGTACGTGATTTTTTTAAAAGTATCAACATTAGAACTATTTATTTATTGGGTTTGGTTTATGGATATGCTGCTAGGATAATCCTAAAGAGGGAACAAAGGAATACCCCATGGACTTTGAAAGGTCCAATACCTAACTACAGGATTCTCTTCACAGACAGATCATAAAAATCCAACTGTTCATGTTATGAGTTGACTTTGGCTCAATTTGATCGTCAACTCGAACTCTTGGTTCCCTCCCCAATTCAGAATAAAGTTCAAATTTACATTTCAAGCAAGCTGAAATGGCAATCATCCAGGCTTAGGAAGCAGTTCCAACTTGCTTGCCTTGGAACTCAGGGCAAAAAGCATCTTCTTGGATTCCCAGCAGTCCCAATTTTCGGGTGTTACTGGAATTCTACATAAGTCAACTCTTGTTTTTCAAAAACTGAGAAAACCCCAAGTGTTTTCCTTAGTTATCTTAGCCTTCCTCTTGCATGAAAATAGTCATATTTTAAGTTAAAGAAATTGTGTTTTGTCCTTGCTGAATTACAAAGAAACTTACAGAATAGTAAATGTGGTTTTTCTGATAATCAATTATTTATTTATTCATTCTTTCCACAAAATGTATGGTGTACTTTGCATGTGCTGGTAGCTTTCACATGCTAGGGGAACAGTTGGGGGAGACTAGGTTACTGAGAACAATGACAAACACTGAGATGGGATTTGTGGAGGACAGTTTCTGGGACTGAAACTGTGGAAATCTTGGTACAAAAACTACTTGACAAGATGAATTTAAACATTTGCTATGTAATTAAATAAGAAGATTTTAAATTCCTTTCAAGCCTACAAGCCAATGAATATGAAAATGGCTAGAGTTATGAATCTGAAATGTAAATTTATGTTTATATGTATGTGTATGAAAGTCAATCAGCAGTAGATTTGACATTATGATACAAAGTAGGAGAATTTTTTAATATTATCCATACAAAGAATTTCAGAAACAGAAGAGTTGTTGAAAAGGAAAAAAAAAAATAGACAACCACTAGAATATTCTTAAGGGATCAAACCAACATTATAAACTGATTAAAAGTTAAAGGCCTATTTAGCCAACGTATATTCTCATACCTAAAGTATAAGAATGGGAGTCTGACTGCCTTTGTCCAAATCTGCACCCCAATGCTCTCTAGCTACGTGATTTTGGCAAGTTGCTTAATCTCTTTAGGTATGAGTTATGCTAAGGAATGAATGATTTTTTCATAGAATTAGGTTAAGGAATAAACGATTTAATATCTGTACAGTATTAGAAGAGCAAAAAGTGTCTAGTACACAGTAAGTATTCAACAAACATCAGTTGTCATAGGCTTTTTAATCACTTAGGCTACCTGTTAGAGTAACAGAAGGAAAAGCATCACTGAGGATAATAACCAAAGAACATAACACATGAAAACAATATCTGCCTCCTTTGTAGCATTGTGTGAGTTGCTTTCTTTTATCCCATTCAATCCCAGGACATTTATGAGATAGATATCATCATCATCATCTAATAAATCAGAACACTAGAACTCAGAGACTCCAGCCCATGTCCAAACCCCATACCTGTGCACACCGCTGCTGACCCAAATCCAATGTCTGCTAGATGCCCCACAGACAACTAACTAAGAGCTGAACTCACTGTCCTCCCCCACATTAGCTCCTTTTGGCAGTCCTTCCCCAGCGATGGCCTTCCAACCATCTCAACCAAGGAGTCTTCTTGTGTGCCTCTCTTTCCCTTTCTACCACATTCAAGTAATGATCTACATTAGAAATCTTCCCTCCAGGTTCCCCTTTCCCTCCCCCTGTCTGACAGCCTCTCTAGATGACTAAGACCACCACTGCTCTGTCCCTTTCAGATGGTGTCTCTCTTGTGCAGCCAGAAGAGCTTTCATCAGATGCACACATGGATCCCTGCTGCACTCAGAAGACAGTCTGAACACCCTAAAGGAACGGTCCCTCTGTATTTCTGCCAGCCCGACTGTCACTTTGTTGCTCCGCTCTCTGCCCATGCCTGGGCATACTCTTTCCTCCTAGTCCCCTGCACAAGCCCTTCTCCACATATGCTCTACTTCAAGCCCATTCAAGCTCTGGGACTCGGGCTTGATAAATTCTTCCCAGAGATTCTTTCTTGGTCATTCCCACACCTTCCTGAGTTACATACCCCTCTCATATTCTCACACGTTGCACCATCTGAGAGCATCTATCACACTGTGTTATAATTGCTTGTTCATCACTTTGACTGCCCACATACTCTGTAAACTCCATGAGAGTAAAGCCCCTGTTACTCCTCTTGACCACTGTTTGGCTGGCATCTATGTGCCCAGCCCGGTACACAGCAAATGCTGAATATATTTGTGTGATTTTTGACTATCCTTATTCAACATGCCTTTCTGTTAACCACTGACAGTGCTGTTAAAAGACGTTTCTCATATCCATCAGGTTCCTCCAAAATGTCATATTTAAACACTAGCACAGGACACAATTTCTTATTTCAGTGCATATATGCCAGCTCTATAACTTGCATTGATATATACAATTGCATGTGATGTCATTGAAAGACTGAACTATTGGGTAGGAGGCCATTTTTATTTTACTTTCTTTGCTAACAAGTGACATGATCCACAATTTTTCATGTACAAAAGCCAATGGAACTAATAAGTAAACAGGAGAAAAGGAAAAAATGATCTGAGGAAGTAAAGCACTATTATCTTTTAACATGTTTATATGGAATAATTATGCTCTCCTACTAATGGGTCCCTTAGCATGTTAAAAAAGAGGACTAACTGCCAAAGGATTTATTCCTCAGAACACAGAAGGACAGTTTAATAAAATCCAAAGATATATGGACTGGTTTATTTGTGTTTAGCTGCAAATTATAAAAAATCCACCCTAGAATGACCTTTATAATGACAAGATTTATTCTTTCCTATTATAAGAAGGTAAGACAGCCGCAATTTTTTTCTCCAGAAATTGTTTGGCCTTGCCTTTCCTTGTGTTTTGTCTCCCTGCTTGGGTTTGAGGCTGGATAGCACAAGCAATCCCAGCCATCACATTCAGACAGGACATTGCACAGAGGAAAGAGACAGAATTTCTTTCTGAGAAACTTCCTCTCAGTTGCTGCATCAAACTCTCCACATTTCCCACTTGTCAGAATTGTATCACGGGCTCCAGCTGAAATCTGCTGATGAAGCTCTTAGGGGGTATTGTTTTGGGACAGCTCAAGGCAGGCTCGATGCTGTGTTTTCTCCAATGACATAAGAGAGGCAAGTCTGGGCCTCAGTAACACTGGCAAGTAGGAGCCCTTCTACTCGTAAGACTAGCCTGGGAAATGCCAGGTAAATCCAGGCATTGATTTTTCTATGTGACAAGAAGGCTGAAGCAGGGATTTGAAATATTGTTCTTTTCTATTAAGAATAATTGTACCTCAAAAAATGTGTGGTGAGCATTCGTCATTCTTTTGGCTTTCCAGCATTTAAACACCACGTTTATATGGGGACAATAACTCACCATGGAATCCTGCAGAAAGGTGAGGGCTCTGCCTCCCACTTTCAATGGAAGGGACAAAATAGTAAATCCCTCCTTCTCCCCTTTCCCTGAGAGCCAAAGTAT